TCCCCCCCCCCCCCCCCCCAAGATTAGAAAGTGGTTGGCTCAGGCAAATCTTGTGGATTGAATGAGCTCCTGAAAGCTTTGAAGTCCATTGAGAAAGATTCTATTAAAATCCATTGTATTAGTTTGTCATTTCTAATCTCTGGGTCAGTGGGTTTGTGCCCACAATGGGAACAAACTTCCTTGTTGATGAGTTGCAGAATCCTTGAACTAACTTCCAGATCATACCCACACACTGCATGCAAAGTGTTGTGTTAGACTTCCTCTTCCAAAATGATCAGATTTCCACAGCTGGATTCTGTATATAAAAAATAAGAAAAAAAAATTAAGAAAAGCTGATTCCACAAATGCTGCTGGTGAAGAAAAGAAAGAAAGTTTATTACTTTTCTTTCCTTTTCAAAAAAGTTTATTAAGAATAAAAAGTCCTAAGCAGTTTGTTATTTTTCCACAATTATTAGCAAAGTAAGGTACTTTCCAGCAAGACTGGCATATTGTTTTCTTCTGTCCTCACAAAAATGTTGCAATGTGTGCATCACCCTCCTTCAAAAAGTGTTCCTTTTGTGGCTGGTAAAAATAAAAAGTTTCCTCCTACTGTGCATGCAAATTCTCACAGAAATATGCTTTTTTCTCTCGAAAGATATCAGAAAGTAGAAATTGAAAATGCAGTGACATGTTTTCAAAACTACCCAAAAATGCTCATGTGAAGCAGTAGGCAGTTTTGCAGGTCCTATGAAAACTGTATACCGTATGCAGTGTCCACAGTTACCACTTTGGACACTATTGCTTTAGTACATCACCGGAGAACATTCTTTTCTTATTTTATTTTCATGAGAATCTAACGTCAAACAAATAGAGCTAATCAAACCAGACAGTTCTCATCCAGTGCTTCAGTACAGGCAGTAATAACAGCTGAGGGATCTTATTTAAATGTACTGGTAATTCATGAGCTCCGCTATCTTGATATTATTTGGTGATCTGCTCTCTTGTGATGTTATTTCCCATAGTGACAAAAGAAAGAAAAATCAATGTGCTTTGATATTATTCCAAAAAGGACTTAGAAAATAGTAAATTTTTTGAGATGAATTAAGTGGAGAAGATTGGCATTTTCCAAAGACAGATGTATACCCTTATGATTCTGGCAACACCACCATCTTTGAATTCCATTTGGACATGTTGGAAGGAAACATCATGGCTAAACAGAATCCTCATCAATTTCATTCCCTTCAGATTGGAGGATGGTCCAATGTTTAAGCAATTGCTGATGGAATCCCCCAGTAAGAGGTCATCTCAAAATCTTCTACTGAATGAAATCATTGCATTTGTGCTTTGGGGGGCGCCGGCATCAGCGCGCGTGCGTTCGAGGGACCGGAAATGTCGTCGTGGTTCTCTCAGCACGAGGACCGGCCCGAAAATGTCGTCGTGGTTCTCTCAGCACGAGGACCGGCTGATGGCCGCCCGACGCCTGCCCCCACCCCCTCACAGAGCGCCGTGAGGGGGCTTGTCTAAGCCACAGTTGGCTATGCCTGGGCCTGCTTACCCAGGGTGCTTGGAGGCTGCCCCACACTGACCTCCGAGAGGCTGGTTCCAGGGAAACCCTCCACGCTGTGCCTGGGCAGGCTGAGGAGGCGCTGCAAAGCTGTGGGAGGACAAGGTTTGGTCCTTGCCGCACCCTCCTGGTTCACAGAAAAAAACGTGCTGGGATTGTTGACGTCTGGTCAGTGAAGCCCAACAGCATGGAGACAGGTGAGGGCGTTGACAGCACATGGCTCTAACTTCGTGATGACAGACGCAGTGCCGGTGTTTTCAATTCTTTGCAGTCCCACACGTTGAAGTTGGCCATAATTGACGTGTTAACGGATAGTTAAAATTATTTTTAATAGTAAGTCACCCTAGTTTTGGTATTTAACTAAGAAGGAATTAAAAATATTGAGTGGCATTGGTATCAGGAACTTTCGACGTACTTTTCTATCTGTATAGTGTTTCTCAGGACTTAAATCGTTAAAAAAGAAAGAAAAGATTTGATTGTAGTTTACTTCACTGTTGCAAGAAGCAATGTTGATCCACAAATGCATGGGTTAATTGGAAGAAAAACAGCCCTATCCTTCTCATAAAGCAATTCATTTTCAGTAAAAGTATATTCTTAGTGATTATCAAAATGTGTTATAGTTTTGATCAAATGCCCACCAGTAGTAGTGATAGTAAATCAATCTAGATTCTTAACATTTGGATTCTTTTTACAGGAAATTTAAAAACTCAAATATTGTGAAAAATATAAGAATGATAAGACTTCTAAGAAGAATAATGTGTTATAATTATGTTAGGGTAGAATCCAAGAGAATGGATATATTAGCTCAAGGAGTATAAGAAACAAGGTAAAAATTTTCTCTTATGTATATATAATAATGTTTAATTTTGAAATAATTTTAGATTTCCATAGAACTATAAAGATAGCACAGGATTCTTTCATACCTTAAGTTTCCCCAAATGTTATCCTATACATAACCAAGGCACATTCATCAAAACTAAGAAATTAGACTATCTTCGTTATAGTGATTAAGCACTGTACCTAGGGAGATGGATTCCACATGGCCAGTTCTGGATCAAATCCTGGCCTGGCAGTTTGAAAAAACACACTGGGCACATCTGCCTGTAATGCCTAAAATCCTGATGGGATGGAGAAATGCAAAAAATTTTTTAGGGACATGACTATGCCCTATGGGGGGGAATGTCTCTCTCTCTCTCTCTCCACCCCTGCCCCTCCCACACACACACATGCCCCTCTGGCAATTAAAAATAAAAACCTTAAGAAATTAACATTGCTACGATACTACCAACTATAGAACACACTGTATTTGGATTTCACCAATTTTTCAACAAATAACCATTTTCTATTTCTGATTCAGGTTACTATATTTTTTGCATTTAGTGAATAGAAAATGATATTTAGAAACTAAGATCTGGCTGCTCAGGGGTCGCTGCTTCCAGACCTGTGAAGAGAGCAGAGCTAGGTAATATATTCATGGGTACTAACTAATGTATCCAGACACATCTAGATTTCTATATTACCTATCTCAATATAAATATGGATTTATCACCTTTGTAGTCCAATACCACAGCATACATCCTAGCTTTCTCCTTTATTTTATGATTTCTTTCTATGACAATGAGAAATCTGGCACTATCTCAAGTTTACTTGTCTGAGGATAGTAGTTGCAGATTAACCTATATTAATGAGAAGCAAATTTAACAGGTATAGGATTTTGTTTGTTTTATATTACTTAAACTGTTTTCTATTATTTAGATCAGTTATTTGTTTAAATTCTATTTTATACAATCACACATAACTACAGCTTGTAAAGTGAATTTACCCAGCATGAATACACTTCACACTAGTCCAGTTAAAGATATCATACACATTAACATCAACAGATAATCATCCATTTCTATGTCCCATAAATGTCTTGCCTCTCTATTTTCTCAATTCATTTCCTCCTAGCCTGCCATGAGTTTTGACAAATACAGTCATGTATCTATTACTATAGCACAGGAAAGAACAGTTTGGTCACCCAAAGATTTTATTTGATGACCCTTTTGTAGTCAGCCCCTCTTCTTTCTCCTAAGTCCTGGCAAACACTGATCTGTTTTCTGCCTATAGTTCTTCCTTTTTCATGTCATATGAATGGAATCATAAAATATGCAACATTTTGGATCTGGCTTCTTTCACTTAGGAAAATGCATTTATTATTCCTCCGGGTTGTCAGGTGAATTGATAGCTTTTTCCTCTTTTATTCCATTGTACCGCTGTTTATATGTTCACCTGTTAATCTTGATTGTTTCCAGTTTTTGGCCAGCATGAATACACTTCACACTAGTCCAGTTAAAGATATCATACACATTAACATCAACAGATAATCATCCATTTCTATGTCCCATAAATGTCTTGCCTCTCTATTTTCTCAATTCATTTCCTCCTAGCCTGCCATGAGTTTTGACAAATACAGTCATGTATCTATTACTATAGCACAGGAAAGAACAGTTTGGTCACCCAAAGATTTTATTTGATGACCCTTTTGTAGTCAGCCCCTCTTCTTTCTCCTAAGTCCTGGCAAACACTGATCTGTTTTCTGCCTATAGTTCTTCCTTTTTCATGTCATATGAATGGAATCATAAAATATGCAACATTTTGGATCTGGCTTCTTTCACTTAGGAAAATGCATTTATTATTCCTCCGGGTTGTCAGGTGAATTGATAGCTTTTTCCTCTTTTATTCCATTGTACCGCTGTTTATATGTTCACCTGTTAATCTTGATTGTTTCCAGTTTTTGGCCATTGTGAATATAGATACTATACTCTAACCAAAGGTGTTCTTTTCACTCACCTGCTGTAAGACTCTCATCAGGCTTCCCATCTCACCTGAGAGTATAAGCTAGTATCTTCATAATGACCTGAGTAACATGATCTGCTCTGTCCCCGTCCTCAATTCCATTTCCTACCACTGCCCCACTCTGCTCCATCCAGGGTGAACTTTCCAGTTTTAATAAAACATGCCATGCTGGCTTCTACCTCAGAACTTTTGTCCTCTCTGCTTGGAACAATAGTCAAAATACTCCCCCCCTTGGTTTATTCACTTTCAGAACTCTCTCCTTTCTAAATGTCACTTCCTAGGAGAGGGCTTCCCTCTCCAGCACACATGTAAATGCACATTCACCTACATTCCACCTCACAAATCACTTTCTAAGAAAATGTATTTATGAGAGAGTCAAAGAGAGACAGGTACCCCCAGCAGGTTCCTGTTGGTTTTCAGCTGTCCAGTCATGGGCATGTATATGTACCTGATACACTCAGGGAAGTCCTGGACATGAACCCAGGACCATGCCCATGTGTCCAGTTGTGTTATCACTGTGTGACTGCCTGGTTCCCTAAGTCACTATATCCTGTCCCTGGTTTACTTTTTGCTTTGTATTCCTTGTCACCATTAATATTATAAGTTAGTTGTCTATCCAACCCATGTAGCTACATACAAAGTCTTTATTTTGTTTACTTTTTTTTTCCACAATAAATTGAGTGGAAAAAAGCATGAACACAACACATAATCCTTTCACAATATTATATATTAATTGAATGCCTCTTATAGTCAGTTGCCATGCTAGAAGCTGAGAATACAAGAGTTATTAAAACATATCCTAGTTTTATAGTATAATGAGAAAGAAATTCTAAGAAATACTAGAAAATAGCCAGGAATGTATCTCTGAGAAAACTGATAAAAGCCTGAAAAAAAAAATTAACTGTGGTCAAGTTACTTGGCTCTCTGAGCCTCAGTTTCTTCATCTGCAAAAATGTGAACATAATACCACTTTTGATGCTCACTGGAGGAATATATTGATAGTTATTACACAGTACATGTTTGGCATTATTATTTTATGTATTTAAATACTACAGAAATTTTTTTAAAGATAACTTTTAAATATTTGTCATAACTTTTAACACAAAAAATTTACATGACAGAGGTTGAAATAATTTTCTATTGGTGGTAGAAAGAACCCTTATTCCTGCAACTGATCACAAGGCTGTGGTTAGAATTTATGATTTACTTCCTGCATGACCCATTCCATGTTAGTTTGCTTTTAGTTTCTCAGATGGTTGGGATTTCTCATTCAGTGGAATAATCTGTCAAGAACTGTGAAATTCGTCTGCCCCAGTTTCATAGATGCCGGCAGAAGGCATGAGACTCCTGCGTCAGAGATACACAGTTCTAATCAGGTTTCTTCTATTAAAACTTTGAAGACATGGGACCAGTAATGGTTATGTCGCTGGAGTCCCACATGGCTAACCATGGTTCAAGTCCCACACCCAGAGGCTTGAAACTCAGCTGGGTATGTGTGCATGTGTGCCCAAGATCCCAAGAGAAGAATGGAGGAGGAAGGATTGTAGTGTGGTCATCTACCATAGGGGGTCAGTTTCTCACTTTCTGTGTCTCTGTCTCTTCAGTGAGCATATATACCCTATAGCAAAAATCGCTTAAAAAATATTTAGACAACATCCATCTGTAGTGAAGATGAAGAACATTCTAAAGTGATTCTACAATATTTAAAGCATGGTTCATGAACTGAGGAGACTCCATAAACTCTTACTGTTCTGTGACAAATACAGAAATTGAGATGTTTAGAATTTTAATAGCAATTGAGAGAGCATAGTACTTGAATCTAATAGTAAAATTGAATCTAATTAAAATTTGAACTTGCGTTTTGTATGTCCTTGGGTATTTTCATTTTTTTCTTTCATTTTGAATAATTGATTCTTGCTGTATTTGATAAGGTTATTGCTTTACATAACACTGCAATTTTAAAAAGTTTCTTTCCTATAGTTAGTTTGCAAATCACAGCTCTCTAGTGAACCTGGTACACTCTGAACATGTAGGAAAACAAAATCCTTCAGAGTTTGTCACATTATTGAAATTTTACAGATTATCTGACTGTATCTTGTGATTTAGAAAGGGAGCAAAGTACATACTAGCCTAAAATAATTTAAATATACCACCTGTGAATTTTTAAATCTAGACAGCTGTCTGGATCTTGTTTTTTTCATGTAAGAATCAATTTTAGAGATCATCCTTGTTTCTTTTAATAGTTGCATACTAGT